AAGCACTGCTCCGTTTCTGAACTCTACTAACTCTGTTTCTGAAAAGACTGGTTGGAGACATGCGGCCAGCAGGGCCGTGGCGATTCTCACGGTGGCGTTCTCGTCCGGGGCGGCCGTGGTGCCGCTGGTGCCCTTCTGCCAAGTTCCCTCCTGAAGCTCGTCCATGGGAGTGAGAAATGGAAAGGCCGCTTTGACTTCTGAGTGGTTGTGCCTTTATCGTGGTAGGTAGCACCATTGGATAGTATGCATTTTAACACCCACTCACATTGGGAGCATAGAATGTCCTTTAACAAATATGTTTTGTGCTTGAGGCAGTATATTTTTATGTAACACCGAAAGACTGTTGTCAAGAAACACTCGCCCCATGGGCTTGCTGTCATTAGCGAAGTTACAGGGTTTGCTTTATGTGACTGGGAGTCTCGGTGATCGCACCAGAACTGCTTGTTCACGACACAGCACCATCTGGTGCCACTGTTACTTTCATAATCCATTCATTCCTAGGGAAGTGATGAGAAGGTTGTGTCTAGAACTCAGTTGGTTTGTGGAAGAACAGTATCAAGACCCAGAAAAGGCTGCATTTTTCTGTATTTTCAGCCTCACCTAAAGAGGAAGAGGCATCAGTCCTTGTTTCCCTACACACATCTCTCTTCTGGAACTCGCCGACCGCTGGCATTTCACCTAGATATCCACTGGGAAACATAGTTGTGCTTATTTAACTGGTTCCCAGAAAGATGAAAACCAACAGGCTTTTATTTATACATAAATTCTTACAGTGCATGCATGGCTCACATAAAGTAACAGGGTAAAGGTTGGAATTCATTTACAGACAGCCTCCTTACTGCATTTTCTCCTGCTTTCTAAAGGCTCTTCCAGAATTTGGGCAGAAACTCTGGAGTTGGAAGACTGCACTGATGTTCCCTTTGTCTGGTGTTCCTGTCCTCCGTTAAGAATACACGTGATTGTCATTGTAGAGGGATAGGGCATTCCTCCTCACGGTGCGGCTTCTCGCATCTTTTGTTCCATCCATCCTTTGTGCTGCTAATTCATTCAGCAGGGCAGCACCTCTGAGCAGGAAGGTGAACGTGCCACTCTCTGCCATGCCAGGCTTTAGTGCCTCTCCTTGCCAACACAGTATTCAGAATTAGAGTAATAATTACCTTTGTCAGGGTGCTGTCTCAGAAATCTCCCTTCCTTTAATAACTCACAAGTAGTCTTTTTTTTTTCCTGCCAGCAGGCACAAGGCATTTGCCTTCAACTTGTGGCATCTTATTAGAATCATCTCGTTACTTGACTCTTCTCCTCAGTTTTGTGGGGGCACCTTGAAGGAAGGCCCCGTGGGTGTGCTCTGTGATGGTACAGACACTGGAAGATAGCACATAGCACTTAGTGTTGAATGAGTTGAGGGAATGAAGCCAGCCTGCCAGCCAGAGGAAGAAGTATCTGACACTATTCACCCAACTCAAAAAGTTGAGTGTGCGCATCATCATTATCGGCCTGATCGACGCCGAATTAGTGAGTTAGCAAAAGTTACTGGATCCCGATGTTATTCCAGATGCCAAATATATATTATAAATGCTTGGCAGAAGTATTTTATATTTATGTCTACATTGTCGATTTCATTTTGTAAATGAAGTTTGATCCTAGAAACTGTAGTTTATAATAGAAAGTATAAGTTCTCTTTTCCATGTGATAAAGCATGCTATTTCAGAACATAACTGAACATGAGCCATACTTACACCAAAACATATTTAAGGCATAGCTTTATAGATTTACTTTTTTAAGTCTACAATACCCTTTAAAAGGAACAGTAGTGTATGGCTATGCTACTTTTTCTAAAGAGTCTTTTCTAAGAAGGTCTGTAATCATTATGCAACTCACATTTTCCAGTATTATACAGTTCTATCTGTCTTATTTAGCATACCCTAAAGCAGTTATGTAGCTTTTTATACAATGCTGATTTTATTTCATGCAGCCTGCCTTTGTAGTGATTAAAATTCCAAATCTACGTTGAGGACTAGAACTTAATAATATAAATTTGTTAACTAAGATAAAAGAACATTAAAAAGTGTTTAACAAATGTGTTGAAGCATTACAAACTTAACAGTTGGTCAGCTATTACATCAGCCTGGCCCTGTTCATTGTGGTTTAAGAAGATTGTTTTTAGATGGTGACTCAAAGCAGAGATGTTATATTTAGGTGTCTTCACTTTCTCTCACCCCTTTCATCCCCAAGTGCCCAGATTCAGGGAACACGGAGGGTCAGACCTCACAGCCAACATGAAATAGTCCTGTCTTCCCTAGTTTTTAATAATTATTTATAATTCTGTAACTATATATTTCAGAAATGTAACAATGGAGTGTGAAGCTGTAACTGTACTCCTATCCTCTGAAAAGCTTTAAAACTTTTACTTTGGGGAATAAAACTAAAAAAGATGAAGTAGAGATTTTTCTCAGTGTAGTAGAACAAAATAAAATTATCCTCTCTTAAAATAGATGGCAGTTAGGGAAAGCAATTTTTCCTGTCATGGGTAAAAGCCAGAGAACACAAAATCAGCATTTGAAATGTTAACTCGTGGTGTTTTAAATAAAAAGAAGCTAAAATGCATTGTACATTATCTGTTCCCAAGGATGATTGCAGATTCTTGTTATTAAGTACTGCAAAAATACATAATGTACCTGGCAGGTAGAGCTATAAAAACTAGAGATGAAGAAAAACGTATTACATGAAATTTTAAAGTTTTCTTTTTTGAGAGGACTCCATGTTTTGTTACTTAATTTAATCAGCTTGGCCTCATACATTTGTTCTTCATCTTGAGTTCAAATTCACAGGCATGCAAAAGAAAAGAAATCTGTGGTAATTGAAAGAATAATGAAGATTAAAAGTCCCTAAACCTCTGCAGTTTTATCTTATTCATCTGTAAAACCATGCATTAGGAATCAGTTTCTTCCTAAGGCCATTATCGAACATCATAGCTTTAAATCTTGAGCAAGCCACTTGATTTTTCTGAGCTTCTGTTTCTTCATTTGTAAAATAGATTTTCGAAAGCCTGCTTTAAGTCATGGGGCTGTGCTGAGGATGAAAGGAGTCACAATAAGCTCCATATACAAAGTGTTTTACAGGTTTCAAGTAGGGACTGTGATAATTACCATTTTGCAGATGGGGAAAGGCTGAGAGAGGCTAACAAGCTTGTTGAAGGTCACACAGCTATTAAATGAGATGTAATTCTAAAATCCTGTAAACTGCAGCATTTTTCAACATTGGCACTATTGATCTGGTGGGGGTGGGGGTGGCTGATAATTCATTCTTGGGGGTGGGAAGATGTCCTGTGCATTATCGAATATTTAGCAGCATCCCTAGCTTCTATCTCCTAGATGCCAATAGTATCTCACAAGTTGTGACCATCAAAAATACGTTCAAACCTTGCTGAATGTCACCTGGCACGCAGAATCACCCCAAGTTGAGAACCACTGGTCTGTAAAGTTATTAACCACTTTTAAGATAACATTTATCAGTATCATTGTTATTCGGAGTGGTTCGTTCCTGGTTGGAATATTTCATAACATAGCAATTTCAGAATTAAAAAAGAGATAACATGTTTCATCCCTCATCTTTCTGTTTCTGAATATTAGTTGTGACTGTGTCTTCTTTGGAAGGTCCTTCGTAAACTTCTTATAGAAGCTATCACCTGATAGGGACAGTATGGACAGTGAGCCAGAAGTCAGATTCAATAACCCCAAAGTCCCTTCCCCTGTAATTCCATGGTCATTCCTTAAGTGACTCAGGTGGTCTCTCTTGAACAGCCCCCACTCATCTGAAATGTTTATAGACTCCTAAGATCCATTATCATCTGAGAGGCCAGAGAGAGAAACACATGTATTTCATAACTATTATCGCATTTAATCTTCACAATAAGACCTTGAGGTTTGTATCATTTGTTCACATTTACATTTTGTTGAGGAAGTTTAACCTTTCTTCTTTGCCTGCTCCTTCAACTCTGGTGCTGTCATTGCAGAACTTGATACAGAAACTCAGCAGGAAGTTGATAGGGAAACACAGCAGGTGCCTTTCTTACCAGCACTGTATGAAGAGTAACATCCTTCTGAATTACTCCACATAAAGTAGATGCTTTCTGCCCTGCATGACTCTTCCTTTTTCCTCTCCCCTTAACAGAGTTCATTAAATACCTGCCTCATGTGGCTGCATTTGGGGACGGAAGAACCAGCTGTCCCAGAGTAGAATGCTTTTACTTCCCCCCAGAAAGGCCCACCCTAGGATGGACTTTCCCAACCCTCCCACCTTAGCCCATCTTAATCTCTAATCTGCATCCCACTTTCTGCCTGGTATTGGCACAGTCTCCAGGTTATTACTACCCCTGAACCAAAACTTTATAAGTATTCATGACTGGCTTTGTTATATTTGTTTTTCTGCTATTTAAAATAATTGTGAAATTAGATGCATTTGATCTGGGCCTTATTAAGTAGTCTGGAAATGTTTTGTACCTAGGCCTACATGAATCAAAAAAAATTTAAACACCAAGTTTTCAGATTGATTGCTGCTGACAAGCACAATAAATATAATTGAGAGTGATTAAAAGAGTTGGCATGACCTGAGGAGAGGCTGTTGTAATTACCGATAGTGATGAGGGGCTGGAATTTCCCAGAAATCTTTAGGACACAGTGTTCTGCTTACGGAAGGTCCACGCAGCTGTTTGAACCGATGGGAAAGAGAACGGGGTTACTTCACAGCAATATAACTTTAGTGTCGATTAAAACTTTCATTTTTAAAGTGCATGTGAATCACTTGCATAACCCCAAAATTCATTTTTAAAGGACTAATTGGCTCCTTCTGTAAAATGGCAATGTCTGGCCAAAGAGCCATTTTTCTTTTCAGATCAGCACGCCTCCTCACTGACCAGACATACCTGATTCTGATCTGCTGTGCATTCTGCCACTTCATCAGGTTATATAAGTAAAGCACTGGGGGTTTCCTTCCTTTTCCAGGTGGCCTTTTTGAAGATGTAACTGTAGGAGCCGAAGCACTCCCCTCCTCAGCACGGAGCACGCGGGCGGCCTCCCAGCAGCCGGCCCAGTGATTACAGAGACAAGAACCAGCGCTACCGCATGAGAGCACAGCATTGAAGTTCTGAGTTTTACTTGCTTGCATTCTTCTGTAAGAGAAGAGTTAACATCAAATCTTTGGAAAATCAAGGTGGTGAAGAAAGTCACGGTAGCAGGATGAGATAAGTATAGACGTCACGTCTCTGTTTCCCACAGAGAAGAATCTTCAAATATGTGCTATGTCAGCACCACCTGGAAAGACATTAGCTAGTGGAGACCCATCTGTCCTGGGCGGACTGCAGACAGGGGCTTCGCTGGTGGAATTGAATGTTAATGGCCATACATTTTTGGAAATAAAGTTTCAAAGAACTTCTTGGGTTCATATAAAGAATTTTATATATTGTTCAGAGGAGATGCTCAGGCAATAAGTATTGAATAAATGGTTATCAAATTAAAGGTTTTCCCATTTATGCAGGCCTGCGTGTATTCCTTTGGTTCTTTATTTCCTTTACCAGTACTATTGCAAATCCACGTAAGTACCTCACTGGCATGCTGTTGCGAAGTTGTCATAGTCCTTATGTGCCAAGGCAGGTGGTGAAGAAGCTATTGGATGAGAACCACAAAATCAGAGGGAGTCCTACAGAGCCCAGACCAGCTCCTGATTTTACAGAGAAGGTCTGAGTCTTACCTATTACCACACAGGAGGAGCAAAGCTGGGACTGGAGCCAGGCAGCTCCTCCTCTCCCACTGCGCATGCAGGATGGTCTCTGGGTCGCAGCTGTACTTGCTGCGTATCCAGCCGATCGGCATTAATCTTAGCCTACAGACCATCCCTCTACCTCTTTCTTTATTTTAAAAATAAAAATCAAACAAAAAACCACCCTGAGTTTTCTGTCTCCTCATTTTCTAACTTAACACAGGTGTTACTGGCATTATGATTTGCTGAAACTTTCATGATTTCTTCTTCCTTGGAGTTTAATCAAAACCCGTGTCCTGCCGGCAAGACAGCGGTGCAGCGCTCAGTTCTGTACCTGGTGAACTGACAGGAAGAAACCCCAGGTGTTTCATCCCACAGACGTTTTATTAAGCACAGTTTGAAACACCGAGGTTCTTAGTAATATGTCCAAGACTCACAGCCATACAGGAGAATTTGTTTGGCTTCACTTAAGCTACTAAACTCCCAAACACCATGCTGACTTTTTGTGCTTTCTATTGCTGTTCTCCATTTGGTACAGAGCAAGGTTTCTCAACCTGGGCTCTGTTTACATTTTGGGTCCGATAATTCTTTGTTGTGGGAGACTGCCCTATGCTATTGAGAAGAAAAACATTTTACTATACCCTCCTCGATTCAGTGGCTGGAGCTTGCGACTCAAATGGATAAAAGACAGATTAACAGAAAAAGAAAACTATACATACCTCTGCTAAGGAGTTTCAAAGGAAATGAGACCCCGGGAAGTGGGTAGAGGATTCAGGCTCATATAACCATCATAGGTTAAACAAAGAAAAATGAGGTTTGAGCTTCTAGGCCAGGAAAGGCAAGTTATAGGAGGATGAGAGAAGGACGTGTGTGGTTAATGAGGCTTGTCTGGTAGTGCAGGTAAGAGTTTCTCAGCTGATACAAGTTGTCTCCAGGAACTGCTCTCTTCCTGGTATAGAGGCATCTTTACAAATGGAAATTTTCATTATAACTATGAATATACTTTACAAAAGGGAAAAATTTACTCTTTATTTTTAGGCAGTTATGGTGAGATAAAAAGCTTTTTCTGCTTCTGCTGGACCTCAGTTGACTTTAGTTCAAAATAGTTCTTATGCCAAAGTTGCATATTTTGGGATGACATTCTGGTCCCCTTCAGTGCACTGGAGGATGCTTAGCAGCAGCTCAGCAGATACCAGTAGCCTCCTCCCTGGTTGTGACAGCAAAAAAATGCCTGCACACAGTCCCCTGCTGGCCGAAATCGACCCCAGGCTGAGAACCACTGCTGTAGCCCATGTGTCTGAGAAACAAGATTCGGTGGCTGATAAGGCTCCGTGGAGGCCGCCCCAAAGTATCGGAACCACATAGAAACTTCATTTCTTTACTATCTTTTCTCCTTTCTGTCCTTTTGATTCAAACTGGCCTCACCCATCACCCTGACTGGCCTGCCACCTTCTCCCTTGCAGCACCACTCTCAACCATTAAGCCCTCAGGACAGTGAGGTTCTAGTCAGCATCAAATAATCTTAAGAACAAAGTCTCAGGTCTGTTGATGCCAGAGATAGTTGGGTGTCAGTTTTGTTTCGGCTCCAGGCCGAGAAACCCTGGCAGTGCCCTGGCTGACATCAGGACCAGGTGCCCTGGTCGGCTGCCCCCTCAGAGACCACGACCCTAACTCCCTCAGTCACCATGATTAATGACCTTTCCCTTACAACCCACCCCTGGAAGCCAGGTCTTTTGAGCCTTCGCTAACCCATCTCTGGGCAGGGCCACTTCCTAAAAGTAAACCCTTACCTTCTTTGCAGCAGAGTCCTGTTTGTGTCTTACTGGGCTTTGATGCACACAGCTAAATGGACCCCCTTCAGTCGGTAACAATATTCCATTTTGGCATATTGATTATTTTGAATTAAAGTTACTTAAGAAATGGCGAGTGCAAGAAGGACATTCTGACCCGCCTTTGTGTGAAATCTGCCTGTAGCAGGAGATAGAAAAGACATCCTTATCACCAGAAATAGGAAATTCTGGATCAAAAAGCCTGAGCAAACACTGCTACTTCTTTTCTAATGAACTATCCCAAACCCAAACCCTTTTGTCTTGGCAGTTCTTCACAAATGTATTGTTTCTTTGTCTGAACAGTATAAAAGCTGCCTGCTTGGTGACTTTGAGTCTTATATTTCTATGAGCTCCCATACATACAAAATTAAATTTTTTAATGTCTCATGTCATTTTCATCTTGAGGTGAACTAAACAGCCTACCTAGGAATGAAGAAAGAAACGTTTTCCTCCCTTACAATCGCCTGCAGTTGTGTATTGCCGATGATACAGCCATCACAAAATCTGAGACATTCTCTGGCATGTGGCCAGGGCTTACTAAACTATTGTTTTCACAAATGAATGCTGATGAATACCCTCGTGTGTGAGTATTTCTTAAGAGTTCAGTTAGTATTAATCCAATGTTGGAGCCTGGAATAAATTAGATGAAGCAGGGCTCTGCCGATGCATAACACATTTTTTTCTGAGATAGTTTTCCTCTCTCTAGGAAAGAAAGAAGTGTTTACCATACTGATATTCACTTATAGTTTAGATGGTGAAGGTGCTCATGATTCACAAGATAACTACCGCTCAGCCCAGCTAGAAGAATATTCTAATGTACTCACCTTGCCTCTAAGCCAAGGCGACTCAAGCGCAGTGAGACCCTGTTAGCTCCGCCTGGGGTGTGAGGAGGGGCCGAGCCAATGAGAGAGTTCAGTCCGGTCCCTTTCTGACGCCACAGGTGGAGTGGCTGTGAGGAGCTCTGAGGGAGGTCACACACAAGACCGATTTCTGACTACAGAATGCGTCTACCGTGTGTGAAGTTATATGTATCATGAAACAGAAACTTGTCATGATGAAACTGTCAAGTTCAACAGGCCTTCACTTCCTCTGAGCCAGTGCCCGGAGGGAGCTGTTAACATCCGGTCACTGGGGAGGGAGGTTACAGGGTGATGTGTCTGAGCCTGAGAGTCCACTTCATGGCCACTGAGGACAAAAGAAAGGGAATGTGACCCTTTCTTTCCGACTAAATGAAGAGAAATTTTCCTCCTTTCCGCCTCCTCCTATCCCCCTCCTCTTCTCCCCTTCCCCCAGAGAGAGAGAAAGACAGAGATATCCAGCACTAAAACTTTTTAAATTCAGTAAACCACATTGGGAGGGCTAGAGCAGTACCATCAACCAAATCCATTTTTTAAAATCTCTAAAAAATCATGGAAATATATTAAATAAGTGGTTACTTACTTATTAAGTCACATCACTTAAATAAGTGGTTCTGTGAACTTATTCTCACTTAGTAAAATTACAGTACATAGATGTATTGAAAACTTCTATTGACTATTCATTTTGGCAAGTGAATTGCTTAAAGTTTATTTAACATGTATATGGAAGACCCACTACACACCAGGCAGAGATGAGTACAGCAGATAGAATCTATAAACCGAAGGACCTGCCCACATGGAGCTTACATTCTTATGGGAGGGAACAAAAAAGATACGGGAGGGGACATATCTTTTTTGTCCCCTCCCATAACTATTATAGAATACTATGTTATGTTATAAAGTAATATAATTTCTGAAAATAACAGGTACAATAAGAAACAGCTGGGCAAAGGGAAAGTAAAAGGGGCCAGGGGTGGTGTGCTATTTCAGACAGGAAGCATAAGCTGAGCCTCAAGTGTATGCATACTGTTGCTGCCACCCATGGTCACACTGTTCCGACTCTGTCAAGAGTGACTGTGGAGATACATTATTAAATGCCAACACACTGAGTAGAAATCGCAACCTTACATTATTTTGCCTAAAGTAGCTTGACTAAACAAAGACACAGCAATATTAACAAAGCCTGTTTGATTCCACTGATAACAGAAAATCTGCCTAGAACCAGCCACTCAAGTCATTGGGCTCATTGCACTAATGGCTTCAGTGATTAAGCCCCATCAGTAGCCCCTATAGTAAAAAGTGCTGACAAGGGTAAGTGGTTTTGCATGATAAATAAAGCCTGCCTAGTTGTTGTCCCAGAACATTTGTTCTCAGTCTATAACAAAGATTAATTAGGACCCACTTTTTATTGTAATTTAGGGTTTGTAGGCACGATTGGTGCGTCTCTGTCTGTAGTTAGAAAATCATTACCATTTATCTTATACATCAGAGGGGTGGTTTCCACCAATTGCTTATCCAAGAGTTCTACACATTCTTTTACTTATCTTTATTCATTTTACTTTATTTTAATTTATTGTTGACACTATTACAGATGTCTTAAATTATCTTAAATACTCAAGAGCACACTCATCGTGACTTCGTATAACAGTTTCTGTTTGCCTTTTGAGAGATGCCTCAAGCTTTCCTCTACTGAACCAGAGCTCACCATCACCCCTTAACCTGGGGCGGGGCAAGTGGGAAGAAGTTAGTTGGAAATAACTTGTTTTAATAGATATTCTCTAGTTTTAAGGAAAGTGACAGAAACAGTTGGCCCAAAACAACACCTTTAAAAGCATCCAACCTGCACTACTATTCTTTTTAAAATGCGGCTCCATTTTCATTCAGGAATAGAATGAGCCGTTTTGTTTTCAGTCCTGTCTGAGATAAATTCAGAAGCCCATTTGCATGTCCCCGCACTGCTAGGCCCTGTGGCTGCAGGTGTGTGAAGCAGAAAGCGTGCCCTGGATCTGTCTCTTCGTAGACCTGCCCACCTGTGGCCTGCCCCAGCCTTTCCAGTCAGTCTGGGAGCTGATTACAAGGCGCCTGCACTTTCGTCATTCATTTCTCTCCCATACTGTCCACAGTCTGATTAGTTCTTTCTATAAATCTTTCAATATTTTTATGTGCTCTCTTTTAATATGTAATGGATTAAAACTTTTCCTCTTATTACTTGTTTTGGAAGCAAAAAAGGATTTTTATTGCCATAATTTGTTTATGCACTCTATTATAATGGCTGCAAATTTCAATGCATCT